CCTACCTTGGCCTACCTGCCCTACTTTATCTACTATATAAACCCCCAGTTTCTTGCACTGACGCTTTCATCACTCTCCCCTACTGATAAGCCTAGGAAGTGATCACTGTTCATATTCTACCGGTCTAGGGGCAAAGGCAAAGCAGGATCATTCTTTCTATTAGCAGATGCAATCACTTTAAAGTCCGACCGTTTCGTGTATGAAATGAAGAACCGAGCGTCGTACACCTAAATTGCAGCAATATTCAAAACTAATGTGATACAGCTGCAACTCCTGCTCCAGAGAACTTCCAAAATTCTAGCAAACAGCAGAACATTGTGCTCCTTTTATTTTACAGAAAAACTTATAATAAATTTTGTTGACTTTTCAACGGTAGCGAATAAAGCTTGCTGTTTTCCGCAGCCATGGTTTGCTTCAATTGTTCGAGTGCAAGCAAAGAAAAGCGCAATGAAGCAAATAATCGAATCGTAACTAGCACTTGCACAATCACAAAAACCGTGCACATTTAGAGACTGCTCTGATATTACCTATCATAGAAAACAATAAAGTTGAGCAAGTGAGCAAGTGAGTAAGTGACACACCTGTACCTCTCCGAATTGACTGAGCCACAAAAACTTTTTTTGCCATGCTGAGAATTCTAAAAGCATAATCTTGGAGTGACAAAGGAACTGTGAGGTCGTTTGCCGGCATGGGACTACTTCGAAAATTTTTGATGAGGCTCGCTGAGGCCTCGATGAGCAAAAAACAAAGAAAAGGCAGAGAAAATAGAATGCCGGCGCCGGCGCCATCGATCGAGGCCTAGCAAAATGCCAGGGCGCGACGACGCAAACGACTCTGCAATTTAGAAGCCCTGTAGTATTCAAAAGATTCAAATTTTTTGATGACAGTGCTATACTATATTGTAGATCTTCTATCAAGAATATGGTCACTTGAGAATGATTTCGATGCCGTTTTCCAAAAAGTAGTTTCTCCATGCGCTAGTTGTAGTTTACAGTCACAATAGCTCGACGACAGTTGCTTCTATTTTATAGAACTTCACTCAATCTGAGCCAAAATCTTCGCTCGGGAACATACACAAAAACCTTACTTCTTCCCACTTAAAAAATGGTGATGCGTCCTTTTGGAGAAAAAGATTTTGCTAGCGAAAAGATATTTTCGCGAAGAATGCTTCTGTTCCATGAAAGATTTTAACATGATCTACCAGTCAGTCATTGGTGGAAGCATGCATTAATCCAATTTTTTTTCTAAAAGAAAAAAGAATGAGCGAGACTTAACCACTCTGGAGAAGAGCATTCAAAGCTTTTGACGAAAAGACATTTTCCCAAAGGATGCCTCTGTTTCACCAAAAATTTTCGCTGGAACTAACCACAAGCATATGCTCCAAAAAACCTTCTTTTGGCCATAAAAAGAGAAAAATGAACAAATCTTGTTTCGCGAGAAGGACGTTTAGAATCTTTTAGAAGAAAGATATTCATATTTTTGGTTCCTTTATGTCCTGTTATTCTTTGAAAAATTTCCACTTATCACTTTTTGCCAAATACGCTTGTATTTCGAGGAAGATTGCTGTACAACTAGGTGAAACCATTTTTGGGACCCCTTAGCTTCGATGTTAGCAGTAAGGAATCACTGAAGATTTTGCATCGTTATTTTTTATCTTCAGATCAAACTGGAAAATCAATAGCAGCGCAGTTGCAGGGTATTTTTGATGTTTTAGAAGTGTATGGTGCTTGTGCCAACTGCCCTCTACAATTTAGGAGCCCTGTACATAAGTCGTTATCAAAGTAATTTTTTACGAAGCCGCGAAGCGAAGATTCATAGAAAATAATGTCAAATTTCAGCGGAGCTTTTCTCTTTCTTTAAATACTTACGACGATAATGCAGTTTATCCAAAAACTTCCCAAAAATAGAAAAAACTGGACCCAAATTTTTTGCCATGATCGAGTTTCGCTTTTTTAAAATTTTTGCATTGATTTTCCCAAGAATTTCAATTAACATGGAGATAGAGCAAGCCTTGAGAAAACAAAGCATATCTTTCCTTTTTTCACAAAGTTGAGCGTTCACGATTTCGAAATATCAACTCTCAAATCCCCGGGTACAGCCTAGAGCGCGTTTGATAACATAAAGTATGATGATTTTATCCCTAAGAACTTCAATCGGAAAAGAAAACACACGTTGGGAAGAGTAAAACTTGCGCGAATAGATTTACTTGCCGGTTGTTTTATCAGCATTGAGTGGATATATATGGGATTTGATGGTTTGAAAGAGCTGAAAAACTCTAACAGTATCTTTACCAGATCTCTCCTCCTCGGAATGTGGTGCTCGTGCAAAAACAGCCAAATCACTTTCGGAAAATTCTAATATACCTATTTCGTCCATTCATTTTTTAGTGAAGTTGGTAAGCCATGCATTCCTGAGTCGCTATGATCCATAGAGCTGAATAGGCAAGCAATCGATCTTCACTCACTATTCAGTTATCTGCTTATCCGATGGCTAATATGCGGTAAAACATCGTAATTGCAGTATTTTTCTCCAGATTGACTGTGTACTCTATTGCTTAAACATAGTAGTGTGGCTACTTTTGGACTGTATTATCTTCTTGTCGTCATCTTCCACCAAAACATGCTTTGCCAGATTATTGTTCCGAACTTGAACTCCTTCACTTTTTTTTCCTGGGCACAATTGTTGAAGCGAATCACACCAATCTCGATTGTCCTATCCTGCTCAGTCCTTTTACTTGCAAAGCTCTGCCCATAAGAAGAACCTTAGACGCAGCTATTTTAGGACATATAGATCTGCCTCTATCAGAAATTGACATTTGCACTGTGCACAAGATATTTCAGCAACTTTTTGCCTCTGGTAACTTTAGTTTGCCGGTATAAAATCTCATTTTTCCAGATTTTTTTTAAACAAAAATCGGTCTTTATTATTATGCACTTCTTGGTGAACACTAAAGGTAACGTACAAAAATCTATCACGCAGAAAACACGCAATAAAGCCAGTTTTGTTTAGATAAAAGGAGAAGGGATAGGTTCGCAGACAGTTCTGTAGTACTTTTGACATCTAAAAAGTTCTTTTTAATGTCAATCGAAAGAAAACTGAAACATGCTTGAGTTGACGGTTGAGGAAATGAATGGAAAGTGGACAATGTAGTTCGTTACTGTTCTTGTCAGTTGAGTGCAGCGTTTTTAGAAATCTGTCATCTACTTTTGCACAAGGTTTCGAATACGGTGGACACGGGCTAAACTTAGAGTTTTGTATTCGGACTACCCTTGCAGCACTCTACAGCATAGTACAACGATGTAGGAGTGCAAGTTCTAGAACCTGCAATGCATGATTTCAAAATGTGGATGTTAACATTTCTCAAGGGCTGGACATACATCACGCGATTTTATCGCCTCGCAAGTCTTCCAAAAACAACTGCTACTAGTTCCTCACATACCAGTCATCTTGTAATCGGCTGTTATATTAGTGGTAGTCAGTCAGCGATCAGTTACGTAGAGTAGCTATACCAAATTGCAAGATGAACGGCATAAATGTAACCTGTTTGGTCACTTTATGATAACCAAGTAAATTAATGTTCACATTGAATTTTAACTCTCTGCGCACCATCTTACCTCGGAAGTATTCAGCTTATTGCCTATGTGGTCCGAAGTGATGTGTTTGGCAAAAAGGCGTCGCCCGTCTTTATCAATTTGCATCCCACCTAGAATTGTCTCTATAAAAGTTGAAGAAACACTGATTTCAAGTAAACCTCATGGGAACCACTTGTCGAATACCCTTACTTTTGTCAACTGAATGTGGCTCCCAGTATCCAGAATCAAGGTCCGCTAACACATTTAGCAAAGCGGTGGTCCATCAATGTGGCCTTCGTCTCTTGTCATGAAACTTGACTGAGGGAAGGGCTGAGAGCTAGCATTGCAGATGTCGGTGAGCTCGAGTTACAGGTGAAGCTTCAGAGTATTCCAGACTTTCTTCTTCAGCAAAAGCATGGAATTGTTTCAAGCTTCATTTGTTGCTCGAGCCTAACAACATCTACAATGCCAGTTCTCGGCTCTTCCTTCACTTAAGTTCCATGATAGGCAAAAGGCATATCAAGAAGAGACCACCCTTTGCTAGATGTTACTAGCACTGTAAGTTTGCTTGAGTACTTGACCGTACCTGTCTGACCCCATATGATTGCATACTACTGGTTGCTTAATAGAAAAAAATTGACTTGTTGCTCTTAGCGCAAACTTTTGCAAAGTTGATTTTCGCATCTTTGTCTTGTTATTAAGAAACGTTGAGATATCTAACTCCTTTACTCACATAGCTGGATATGCTTGCAAGTCAAGATTACCGAATCGATGATCGGTTGCTTGCTGATAGTTTACGTAATTGAAAAGAAGCGATTCAAAAAACAAAAGAAGCATAGCTTTTCTGCATGTAAATTTCCTGAATGATGAAGATAATAGTACAAACAGTTTGAAAAAGAAATTTTATTTTGTGGTGTGAATTTCTAAGGACGCATCACCGTGACAGAAAGCAAGTCGAAATTGACTAGCTCAAAGCTGAGAATCTCCTGTAAATGAATCCTCGCTTTACGTAAGTACGAATTCCATATCAACCCATCAAAGCAGTAAAATGCTGTGGCACCACTTAAATTCCTACTTGTAAATAAGAAACCGTTTGAGAAGATTTCAGTTTTAGGTGCCAGGGAGGGGTGATATGCAGCGAAAATTTTAGAGTGAAAGGGTTTGACGGCAATTTTGAGTTTTCCACTGATCTAGTGGATAATATGCATTGGTTGTGTAAAACTGTTTAGTTATCCCAGATCAACATGAATATAGGACTGGCCGACGAAAAGGACGTTTTCTGCACGTTCTATGTGCAGTACCTTGCCTTGATCGTGTGTACACATGATCCGTCTGGCTTTGAACAATTAAAGGTTTCGTAATATTTTATGCTGATTAAACGATCGCTTATTCGAAATTGCTTATAAAAGGGAAGATGTAAATCGTGTGATCACACCATGATGTTCTTCCTGAGCTGGTTCTTCATTGTAAGTTGTATTTTATATAACTTACGTCGCTCAGAAGTTCTGCCAATCTGCAGTATTTTTGTTTATTGTTGCAAATTCTTGCTGCTTTTGCTTGCAATTTCTGCTCTTAACTTCGCCTTTGCAGGCGAACTTAAGAGCAGATTTATTGCAAAAAATCGACGTTTGCAATCGTGCCAAATTAAGCATAATAATGCCCTTTTCCAAGTATGGATATGGGCCAGTGAAGTAACCTAGCTGCATGTTTCAACTCAGCATTAAGACGACCATGACTATGTACTGCCAAATTTACCCTTTACAAGCATTCTTAGCGAAATAATGTCATTCAATGGCTCCAGCTTCGTCCACAACAAATAATCAGCAGATGAGGAAGATCTATTTCAAGTCAGCTTCATACTGCATCTAATTGTAGCAGTTTGTATGTAACGGTCGTTTTTCGGCTTCTTACCGTTCCCTTCTTAGTAACTCAGTCAAGCTGTTTTCGCAATCCACAAACGGCTTCAATTTTGTAAAGGGGTAATAAGCTTAAACCTTGTTCCTGCCGCAATAGAAATCTGGCAAAACCTCTTTTCCTAAAGAAGCTATGGCTTTTAAGAAATCTCATATCTAAGAGAAATCATCCTTTGAATTGCTGTTCGCATTGTGCTGTCGAGATCACTGAAAGATGTAGAAACTCCGAAAATCAAGAACTCTCTGATAAAGACTATTTGCATTGTGGATGTCACAGCTACGATGTTTTGAGGATTTGAATGTGAGAGAGAGAAGAAAGGAGCTGTTTAGATAGATGTATAGCAGTGGCGAAGGCGGGGGGCCTTGGTGTTGCGAAACTTCTCAAAGTTACTTCTATGAGTTATAAAAAAGTGCAAGTAACTTGTTCATACTTGTGAATTATTGGAATAATTTTTGAAATTTTTTGAAATTCAATTTCGCTGTATGAAATATTTTTTCGAGGGCTCTTCTTCACCCCACCCCCTTCCGCGGAAATATTGATTACGCCATGTGTAGGGAGGAGTCGCTAAAATGAAAACGTGTGCCTGACCTCACGCTCGACCCTGATTAATGCCATAACCCTAGGCCGGCATTTGGGAAAGGATTTGTATCTTAATGGCACTGGTGCCAACCTCAACCCACCTTACCATGAAAACTTACCGCGACCGTTAAGCTGTCCCAATTTCATTGGTAGCATCAACCATGGTCCACCATGTCAGTCCTACGCGGTATTTGTTGCGCCACCCATCATGGTGGGTCACGCCATTAATTGTGTCAATTTACCGCTTGCATCAAATTCATGCAAGGGCCATATGATTGACTTAGTATATTTTTGTGAAATAGCTTAGTGCTCAAAAAAAGTGATGGATGTTAGGCTAACGCCAATCACATAAAACAACAATATTGATTAATTAGATGGTTGTTACGTAGCATAAAGCAATAATCTCGATGAAATGGGTACTGTCTGATTATCTCAATTTGAATATATGAGGAACAGAGCGATCATTTACAGACTTGTTCCATACACAGCAGAGCTAGCATTGAAAGAGTATGCATCCTATTACATAAATACAACAGATCTGTTGCCATATAGTACTACTGAGTTGATGCTATATAGCAACAAAGCAAGCGCGTAAGCGGACTGCGATGAAGCCGTGCTTGCACAGGCAAAAGTGGCAGTTACCTCAAAGAAACTTTCAAAGTGAAAGGCACACATTAGCAGTTGCAAAAAGAGCCAAGTAATTTTTGCTCGCAAATTATAGCGCATTAACATCGTGTAAAAAGCAACAGGCTAAAAGCAGTGCTTCATCTTTTAAACAACTTCTTATTTATATTGTTCACTCGCTATAATTTGTAATCTGTCAAATCCATTTTCAGCTCTTTCCAATTTGTTTTGCTTATGATCCAAAAGATATAAACGTCGAAAAACCCAATCTTCACGAAGGACTCGTAAGAGGAATGGAGCATTATTGCAGAATGTTAGGCGGCGGAATCGAAATTCCGGATCTGGTTAGCTTTACCCTTTTAATCAATTCACTTCAATTTGCAAAACGATAGCTTGAGAATTACATTTTATATATTTCGTAAAGTCGTACTGTATAAAATTATAGTTCCAGAAAGCTCAGTGCCACACAACTGTACCTTAGCAAGCCTAAAATGTGTTAATTCTCCGCTTTTTGAGCTGGCTTTTCCAGAAGTATGAACCATCCAAAACTGAGTATTTGAAATCTAAACTCAAACAACACTCGGGTCATTTACTTGCGCTTCAAGGTTGGAATTCTAACATTCGTATATGCTGGGCTGATATCAGGTGAGTTACAGTGGATTAACAGCCGTATATTTCATCGTTCCACGGACTAATTGAATTTAGTGAAAATAATGGTGTAACTTCATGGCATGAAGCAGGAACGAAGCTTGCCACAAAATGTAATGCAGAAGTGCATACTCATGATGTTTGCACGGTAAGACAAACTGCGAGCAGCTACAAGCAGCAGCAATACTTGGCTGAACCTATTACAAAAATTACTCCTGTTAATTGGAAGTTGATGAATGCAGCTGAGTTGATCAGTGCACGTGCGAACGTTAACAATTGTCAACTTTCTCAAACTTTGTACTTGTTCAAACTTCTGACAACAACGAACGAACTGCATCATGAATGAGAAAGAAAATTCTTAAGCGTAAAACAAACTTGTGTGCATAGAAGGTGTCATTTGTCTACTCACCTCACCGTTGTGCGTATCCCTCAAAAGCGACACGTGACAGCTTTGTTGAGTATTAGTTCGGCGTAATATAGACCGGCAGTGGCAGTCCCAGCATTTTTGTCCGGGAAAGGGGGGATTCTTTTGAATTAGGTTGCGTGACGTCAACCACTCATTTCGAAAAATTTTGTGGGGCCAAGATTTTCGCGGCCCCACGACCACAAAATTCAAGAAAATAGCGGGAAGGTGGAAGCGGTAGTCACAGTCTCTAAAAAATTCGTTACAAGCCTACTCTAAATTCTAAAAAATTCAAAGAATTCTTTCAAGTATGTACAAGTTTAAATATGTCACTTGCATATTTTTATATCCCATGTAAGCGACTTTTGAAAATTTCGACACCCGTTCTTAAGGGGGGAAGGGCTGCTCGGTTCGCTACTGCCGATCGGGTAAGGTATTGTCGGAACACTTCACAAATGCAAAAAAAGAACGTTTTAAACCGCATAAGATGACTTTGCCTTCGTGTGCAGTAATGTGAGGTGACTAGACAGATGGCGATACTGTATGTGTTCTGCACGACCATGGTATCGTATCAACTTTCACAGCGTACGACAACTTTGCAGCGGCAGTCACGTGTTTTGCATGTGTACAGTCTGCCTCAGTCGGGATTAGGCCGAGCCGTTTGCTAGATTTGCGCGCATGTAGCGTCAGTACATTGCGCTTGCACACTGTTAAGAGAGCGACAAAATCGAAGACAAAGCAATCAAGCAGGCAGGCGTGACGCAAAACCTTAGCAACGCAAAGTTCTGCCATGCCAATTTTGGCCCGATTGGGATTGGGTCAGACTGTATATGTACCGAATTTAAAGGTGCCGCTTCGCTGTCTCAAAATGTTAAGTAGAGCAGCGGTGGCAATGCAGTCGTTCACAAATGCTGCCTGTCTAGGTTGTCATCTGCTTTTAGCCTGTATCAATAACAACTTTGCAGAATTTGTTCAAACGATTTCCGTTGGTTCAATGCTTAACTGTAGACGGTTATTACCTGTACTGCGCATTCTCAAAGGATATGGATTGGAACACATTCAATCAAAAATAGAATGATCACTAATCCTTTTCAACATGGTTTTGTCTTCCAACTTTGTATGTTGTACTTTGAAAGCAGTGGTACAAACATAAAGCATTTGATTTGAAAACTGATCGTGGTGTGACGATTGTAAGCCGGCCGACATAGAAACCACTCAAAGGCAGCGTCTAGGCAAATCTGGACTTGCGGGGACCTCACGTGGAAAGTGATTTTGGAACCCTCAGTGATACTCACGGCTGAGACTTGGGCCCCCCCCCCAACTGGACCCCCTGGGTCGTTACAACGGACGACTTGCAACGTGCTTGTAAGTTTTTGGGCGAGCACCCGCGCGAAATTAACAGATCGGACATTAAATCTAATGAGGCAAGTCGTCCATTACTACGATACTGAGGTGGTTTGGTGATGATTAGCCCAACCGCGAGTACACCATCTACGCCGCCGCTTGGGCAATGTCTTAGATTGTCAAGATTATTTTCCACGTAAGATCTTTTTATGTTCAGATTTGCCTGGACGCTGCTTCTAAGGCAAGTCGTTAATGCTAATGTAGTAGTTTATGTCAAGCTCGACTATTTGAGATCCTGCTAGTCGAGTTTATTATCACAAGGAGCAAGAGATGTAACACATAGCTGGAGACGACCCCCTTCCTTTCCCAGTGAGCGTCTCAATAGACCACCAGAATTCTCCTAGACCATGTATTTGTAAACAGCATTTCAAATGAATCTTGTGGGCTAGAAAGGTGGACTGGAGCATGATTTTTGGGGGCAGATTTCAACAGAATGTTGTCATGTTATAAAGACACAGACACACCTCAAAAGACATGTTGCTACGCAACTAACAGCATCCAATGTATTGTCTCGCAAGCGAGCAAATTTCGGAACAAAGCTTCGTAAACAAACGGTTCCTCGTTCGAGCAAAACGATCTTATTACATTAAATTTAGACCACGTGTTTACAATAATATTATTATAATGTATGTCACATTTTTGAGAATTCAGAAGCTTACGTGATGAATTTAAGCTTGTGGCAAGTGCTGAATTCATAGCTTTCAAGACCTTCTAACAATAAGTCAAGCGGATTTGCTCGGAGAATGTCAGTCATGTCAGCTCGCACAAGTTTTTTAGCTTTGTGGCTTAAACACTTCCATTCATAAAAAGCTATTTTCAAGTAAGAAAAAATCAGTTCAAAGCATCACTTCGGCTGAATTTTGTACCTCCCAATTTGAAGAGGAATCTGCTTTGATGTGTGTTGCACCCCGTTGGTTATAGCGAAAGAGGCGCATTCTCAACAATACTTAGATTTGTCTGATATTGTCCGAAGTCTTCTGGATTATTCCGTGCACAAAAACCTAACAGCACATCCTCGTCGGAAAAAGAGTTTTTTTTCTGTTCTAGAAACGCACCCATTACGTAATAAGTCTAGTGAAAGCAGAATTGGTTCAGTTTTTCTCAATGCTTGACAGATTGGAATGTTTGCTTGGCTTGTGTAAAAACGCCAAACAGTGCCTTTACTCGATTATTAAGATGTTTTGAGCGAATTTTTCTTCGTTTCCTATAATTTGAGGAATCCCATTCAATCCCATATAGAAACCTAACCACTTTTCGACGGAGTTTCTAAACTACTGTAAGGGACTTAATCTCTGAAAATTGACTGTGACCGCGTTTGGCCAGCTCTTAGGGAGCGACAGGCATTTGCGTCACTATTCAACGAGAGACTGAATGCTTGCATCATGCTCAATATTTCCAATGGAAAATTAAATAAATTCTGGACTCTAAAAAAGACATCAAAATCAGCAAAGTAATAAGACTAAGTAATTGAGAATCCATAAAAATGTATTACCAGCTCCTTTGAAGTTTGCCACATGTTGGGTCAGCCTAGGGCAACTTATTCAGGCTGCAAATACTCGATTGCGAACGGTTTAGAGTTTTGGGCGCAGAACTGATGTGATCAAAAATGGAATGTGTATTTTGTGTACGTGGGATTCAATATCTAGTGCTCTCTGCTTATAAGTTCCGCCATAAAGCAGAATGAACCACATCTTACAGTTATTTATGGAACTTTGATTTCCAGGAGTATTCCAACTTGATTTTTGGGAGAACCTTAAGATGAGATCATGCTAGTAGTGTAGGATCGTTTTCATCCGTTTTTAACGACCTCACTGTTTATGTTTGTGTTATCAACAACTGTTCATGTTTCGGAGTTTTTTTTCCAATTTATGAAAGCATTCCGAATACTTGCGTTGCAAATAGTCCCTAAAAATTTCGTAAATTGTCGTAGTAACATTCTAAGTTTTAAGTTATTTATTAGGTTGATGCATAATTACTGCACCAAAATAGGTACAGACCGCAATAACTCGGAATAATCCTATATCCCAAGTAGGATTCGATATATCATTAGAAAGAGCAAACCTAGCTCTACAAGACTTTGCTCAAATATCTGCACCAGCTTTGATCCACGCGAAGTTTTGAGTCGATAAGTGAAAAAAACCATTCGTCCGAAAATTTTAAGAGCAATCATAAAAAAATTGCAACTTCGTTTAAAAAGCTTCTACAAAATTTCTTTCTTGCTCACGCGTAGATATTCCACGTATGACATCTATCTATGCGGTTTCTGTGTTTTTTTTTCTCAGCTAGACGATGAGAAAACGAAGTTTTTCATGTTTTTGTCAAATTAGTGCTGAGATGTTCTAGCACTAACAGTTGCATAGTACATGCCATTATCATTGAAACTTTACATTTTCAGCCTTCTAGAACAGCTAGTTCACGAGAAATGACGAATCTAGCTCTCTTCATTCGAATTTTTCATGAATAGTTGCCAAAAATTCGACATTTCTCGTAAACCAGCTGCTGTAAAAAGCTGAAAATTCACACTTACGCTTCTAAGGCCCTATAGTATACAACTATCTGTGCTAGAACATCTCAGCATTGTTTTGGAAAAAAACGTGAAAAACTTCGTTTTCTCAATTTTTAGCTGAGAGAAAAAATACAGCAACTGCATAGAGAAATGTCTTAAACGAAATGACAATGCATGAGCAAGTTAGACATTTTGAAGGATTTTTCTGAACGGACTTCCAATTTTTTCTAGGTTTTTTGGGGCGCTTGGATCTTTTTGGTTTTTGGCTTCAATCTTCGCTTGGGTCAAAGCTGCTGCAAAACTTTAGGCAATATCTTGTAGAGCTAGGTTCACTCTTTCTAATGATGTATCGAATCCTACTTGGGATATAAGATTATTGCGAG